TCAATATCTTAAATTTTATATATTATATAAATATATGTCTATGTATTTTACATTTAAAAATTATCTATTTCATATACATTTAGCTATATCTATTTCATATACCTATTCTTTGTTCAAAGAGGATATTATAGTCTTCCTACCCTTATAAAGCTAGTGTACTCTCTTAATATTCTTATTAGCTGTCAGTGTATTTCCCCATGTGCTTAATTTAAGTATTTGAAAGTTCTTAATAATTGTTTTAGTAGCTTATATTGATAGTTTTCATAATAATCGTTAATCATTGCTTTATTTTACTTCAACTTAATACAATTTTACTTTATTTTTAATTAATTAATTAATTTTATTTTTGGCTGCATTGGGTCTTCATTGCTGCACGTGAGCCTTCTCTAGTTGTGGAGAGCGGGGGCTACTCTTTGTCGTAGTGTACGGGCTTCTCATCGCAGTGGCTTCTCTTACTGTGGAGCACGGGCTCTAGGCATGTGGGCTTCAGTAGTTGTGGCACACGGGCTCAGTAGTTGTGGTACACGGGTTAGTTGCTCTGAGGCATGTGGAATCTTCCCAGACCAGGGCTCGTACCCGTGTCCCCTGCATCAGCAGGCGGATTCTTAACCACTGCGCCACCAGGGAAACCCCAATACAATTTTAATGTTTCACTTTACGTCACATCTCAGATGCATACATTCAGATATTAACAACAAATTCAAATGACAAGGCTAGTTCTCATTTCTGATTAGTGTCACTCTGTTTATATTTGAAATGTCTGTCGCCGAGAAAGCATGATGTCTTGAGTGACCCTGTCAGCTCACCCCAGAGCCTGCCCTTCACAGGCCACTAACCCGTCCACGGCACCTACTCAGATGTAGCTCCAGAAATTCCCCCACTGTCTCTCCTGCTTCAGTGACTTTTCACTCTCTTTGATCACGATCAGTGTACCATGCTGTGGTTTCTCCCACCTGGAAATGAAAACAGGGCATTACCCTCGACTCAGGGTCATGAGCCACCAGCTACATTCCCATTTATTTATTCCTTCTTCCAGCAAATATCCATGAACGAGACTCATCTGTATCCACTGAGATTCCTCCACCTCCTCTAACCCGTTCCAGTCTCCCCAAACCCCCCCCACCTGCCTGCATCACAGTCACCAAAGTCTTATGTGGTGTCTCCACCTGCACGTCTCCTTGATGGCTCAACACCCCCCAGACTGAGCCGGGCTTCTGGGACTCCAACACGGAAGAGCAAAATAGGACTCCATGTTGGATCTGTTTCTTTGATGTTAACCTTTGCTTTTCCGTGCTTTTGTTATTATAATCACACACAATGGCCTGCCTCAGGGAACCCTGCCCCGCTGCCTGAATGTTAAACTGAAGTGCCTTTGTTCAGCTCAGAGGGAGACAATCTGACCCTGCCCACCTGTGAATGGCTGCAGAAAAGAAGAAATTAACACATCCCCTCCTGGAGGCTGGCCAAACCAGGCAAAACCAGTGGCCTTTTTACTTTACTTCCTCACCTCCTCCCCCTCTCTGTTCTATAAAAGAAACTGGCATTCCAACGTGATGGAGTCGTTCTTGATTTCTCTCACCCCACAAACGACCCAGGAATCCAGACTCGTCTCCACGCCAGCTGCCACTTGTCTGAACAGCAGCACCTGGCACGCGACCCCTGCGGTAGCCCCTGGCCTGGTCTCCTGTTTTCGACAGCTGCCAGCCCCTGGCACCTGAGTGACCTTTTAAAGCGTAATGGATGCCACGCCCAGAGCCTGCCCCGCTTCTGTTTGTTTGAGTCAAAGCTCTGCCCCCGAAGGCCTGCCTGATCTGGCCCTGGTTCCTCTGCCTCCCCCCACCCCCTGCAGTCCTGGAGTGCCGGGCGTCACCCCTGCCTGAGGCCTTCGCACTCGAGGTCCTCTCTGCTTGGCTGGCGGCCCCTTCCTCGGCACCTGCGTGCAGGTAATGCTCCTCGTTCAGGTCTTTGCTCAGCGATGCCTTCTCTGCGAGACCTGCTCTGCGCACCCCTCCCCCCAGTCTTCCTTTGTCCGCTTCATTTATGCTCTGGATTTACTACCTTTGAGACAGCCTGGGCCCTGGGCCCTTTGCTGCAGGACCTGCACTTGGACAAACATCTCTAACAACAGATACAAAGAAACTATAAGGGACTAAAAATAAGTGCAGGGCTGTGCAGGGGGGCAAATTATCAACCACAAGATACAAAAAGGCCACAAACCCAACTGCCACTTCTGAGGTGTTGGGAGCAAAAGCAGGGTCCTGTGTCCATCCCTGCACACACAGCACCAAGGGGGCAGGCAGACCACCTAAGCTGTCCCTCAGGCCAGAACCCCTGGACCTGCCCCACCCTCACCCCATTTAAGGGAGCAGCCTGCCCCCCTCGGAAGCAGCAAGGGCACCTGTTACTTGTTCTCGCTACCTGGGCTGCAGAGTGAGTCCCAGTCAAGCCTTGCCTGAATTCCTCGTGTGGCCTCTTATCAATTTCTGTTGATTAAAGAGCCTGGGGTCAGTATCACCTTTGAACACACTTTATGGTTTACTAATTCATTTGTTGATTTTTGTTATCCTTCTTCCTCAGCTGGAACAGAAATTTCAGAGGGAGGGGATCTTTGTTTTGTGCACTGATACCTCCCAAACACCTAAAACAGTGTTCAGCACACAGTGGACATTAAAAGTTGTGGATTCCTTCTTAATGAACGAAATGCTGTTGAATCAGACCTTGGCTTTTCAGCCTGAAAAGTGGCATCTTGGCGGCTCTAAGGCCAGCACTGAAGACAGTGCATCCCCCACAAACACACAGGCCCCTCCCAGCCTCAGCGACCTGCCTTTGGGGTGAGAGGCCTTGACTACCCATCTGAACTTGGATCTGTTTTCCTTTTTCTTTTTCCAAGGACAAGGACTTTCTACTTTCTTTTCGTCCAGGGTTGAAATTGCACTCATTTAGTCCCAGGAATTCCCCCTGTTCTTAGTGTTTTGGCTCAAGACTCTTCGGCAACTTGAGTAAAGGAGCTGGAGGGGGTGAGGGCCCAGGGCCCACAGGACTGTTCTGACACAGAAGCCCCATCCTGCATCTTGTCCTAGTGACTTGAAGGGAGATTTTGTCACGTGTTTTCCTACAATTCAGATACACTATATTTAAGGCATTAACACAGTGCACTCAGAAATAAGATATGCCAATGAATGAATATCTGATCTATAAACCTGTTTGTCACCTTTAAAAATCAAAAGTTAAACAGCCGATGCCGTTAATTTGACGTGACTATTTTGACTTTTTCCGGAGAGTCGCCCCATGCTGACTCCAAGCGAGCAGCTCTTCCTCTCCCAGCTCCTCGTTCACACCTGCTTCCCACCGGCAATGCGGGCTGCGGGAATTCTCAGGGCGGGTCTGCGAGCTCTGGGTCTGTTGGAGTTCTGACTCAGAGTGGTGGCCTGAGGATATCAACGGGACTTCATTTTTTTAAGAAAACGTTTTTTTTTTCTATTTTCTGAACCCCTGGCATCAGAAAGGCAGCCTGTGCGGGTTATGATCGCCCTGTATCAGGTCCGATCTTCCCACACACCCAGCCAGACCACTTGGTGTACAGCCCCATTAGACAGTTCACCTAACTGTAGCCTCCATGCCCAGTGATTTGAGTATTTCACGGTCCGCTTGGGGTCAAGATCAATCAAGCATTTTGCAAAGGACTGTCTTGAAGGTGTATCTTGCTACAATTTTAAAAACCCAGTCTTGTCTCCTCAGCAAACACATCTGGATTAGAGCTACCTCTGCAGCACCGTCCTGCTATCACAAAGTCCAGATAAAGTAAAACTGTTCTTAAACCGTGAGTAGGGTGTGTCTACAGGTCTGCACTTCCCAGCAGGTTAAGGGGTAATGATTTTTTCTTTAGCACTGAGTTATTTACATTTATCTCTCATAAGTAAAAACAAAGGACACAGGGCTGGGCTAAGGATTTCAGGGTTTTTATAGCCCATGTTAACAAGTTTAAGCTAATATCTGAAAAAAAGAGGAGATGCTGGGACTGTTTAAATACCTTAAGGATGCCCTGGTGTTTAATGGACTGTGCTGTTCACTGCTCAGCAATATCACCAGGAACCAGGGCCGACTGGGCGGGGGCGGGGGGGAGCGTGGCTGGGGTGCGCCTCCGTGGGTGGCAAGGGGACTAACCTTTGACACCTTCCCCATATGTCTCATGGGCCACCTTTTATCCCAATTACACCAAAATACCTTCATCATAGTCTTAACAACTATCACGCAGTTATGGCTTAAAACGTGGACAGAAGGTACTGACTTTGGAGCATTGGCAAAGGGGGAGAGACTGCTCTCGGGATCCCCAGGGGCGGCTCTGGCCCTGCTGTCAGCCCAAGCGAGCCCCTGCCACTGCGCTAGGCCTTCCCCCCTTTGTTTGTTCATTTTTTTTTTTCTCTCCTGGGTTTAATTTTTGCTACCTGACTAAATATTTGCTGAATGCTACAAAAAGAACACTTCACACTAAACTCGCCTTGTTTTGTTCCAGAAGTACAATCTCATTGTATTCCTAGCAGCTTTACAAGCACAGGATATGGTTTGAAAACATGCAACGGGGTGTGTGTGTGTGTGTGTGTGTATTTTCTAGAAACTCTGATGCTGTGAAGAAACATCAGCCTCCCTAGAAAATGTTTCAGATTTTCTTTCAGTAAAATCTGAATTCTGTTCTTGGGATTAGGTGGGTTTGTGATTGCTAGAAAGCATAAATTTTGCCCACATATTACACAGGCTCCTTTGTGACATAATTCTGTGCCAGAATAAGAATTTTATTCATCCTGGGCGAAGGTGTGGCTGGAAACGGCAAGGGCCACCGTCTGCCACTCTCCGGCGCGTCCTCGGGCTGCAGGCAATGAGCACTGGGGGGCGGGGCTCGCGGCGGCCTGTTGCCCCGGCGACCAGCGCGCGGCCCGGCGACCAGCGCGCGGCCCCGCCCCCGCGCCGAGCTTCCGCTCAGAGTGAGGGCTGGAAAGCAAGCGGGTCCAGGAGCAGCGGACGCGCGATGCCCAAGTGGAATGTCCGGCGGAGGCCTGGCCGCATTCTTGGACTGCTGCTGCTGGTGATCTCGAGCATACTGGTGCTCCGCAGGTGAGCAGACGCCCTGTCCTGTACACCTGCTTTCTCGCCTCCCCTCGCGCCGGGGGAGCCGGCCCGGCAGCGCGCGCACAGCCGCCCGCGGAGCCCGAGTCCCCACGGGGACGGCCCTGTGGTCCCGTCTGATCTGGAGCGCCAGCGCCCGGTCCCTCAGCGCCCCCAGTGCCCTGGGTGACGCCAGGCTCTGCGCTCCCGGTCCCCGGGCGTCTGTACCGAGGGCTCCCCATGCTTTTCCGCGGGAAGTCCGCAGACCTGGCCTCAGACCCCTCTCCGACACTCCCAGCTCTGTGCGCCCCTAGCCCTCTTGCTGAGCCCCAGATCCCCAGCTCTTCTCCCAGGTCCCCACATTTCCTGCCAAGCCTGCTGCGAGGCTTCTCTGTTCGGCAGAGGCCAGAGCTCCCAGGGCTCCCAGCGACGGTCCATCTGGCCGGCCCAGCGCGGTCACGGGTCCTACAAGCTTCTCGCTTTGGGTGTAGTTGCCCCGTTCTCGGATTGATGTGTCTTCTCTCTCCACTCTTCCTCCGGTCACCAGCTCATCCCTTCCCACTCTGCCCCCTCCCTTGCAAAGAGTTATCTGGGAGTGCGTTTGGTGATAGAATGATTTACCCACTGCCTGTGTGGGTGCCCGAGCCTAGAATTTTCCTAAACTGTGTCTGTGACCCTATTTTTGAGGTCGATGCCTGGCACTTTCCATATTCAAAACCTCCAGTGTTGCTGGCAGGCCAGCAGCGTCAAGGGCTTTGGTAGGGAAGTTAGTATGGAGGCTGCAGGCTGAGCCCGTGGACCTGCGGCGCGCACGCCACCCTCAGCTTTATCTTCTTCTGCCCCCCTCGTGACTCCTCTGGACTTCCTCAGGGAGATAGGGACGTTTGGGAGGGAGAGAACTCTTTCCATTTACGCCTTTCCAAGACTTAGGCGTCATCTCTGTTTTGGAGATGGGGAGGGTGTCACAGGGTTGTTGGGAGAAGGAAATGGTGCTCTTCTCCCTCTGGGCTCAGAACACATAGGAGGCATCTTGTTTGCCCAGTCGTTCCCAAGACTTTTCCATTCTGTCTATGATCCCAGCCCCTCCTCTTTGAGGACCGGCCCTGGCTCTTGTAGACACAAGGCTGATGCACACCCCAGAGGAGACGCAGCAGGGGCCTCTGGCATACAGCCAGGTATCCAGGAGCCCACACCCCCAGGGAGAAAGGCCCGAGGTGTGCGAGGAGCATGTGCGTTGTTGTTGGAGGTCAGGGATGTAGCAGCCCATGCAGGGAACCCAGACAGGTCACCATGAAGGGTGGCTCCGAGGGGCTTGAGGTGGGCCAGGTAGTACACCCTGACGGTCTGCAGGAGGAGGTGCGGGAAGGAGCCTGGTACTTGTGTCTGGAGGGACAGAAGGTGCAGAAGCACGGGCTCTCACAGGTGAGCGAATGTGTCCCCACCTGGTGGAGTGGCCGCAGGAAGGGTAGGTTGGGGGGGGCTTGTGGGGCCACACAGGAACAGCAGCAGAGGGTGAATGGCTGTGACTCACGACCTGGAAGAGTTTTGGCATGTTTAGGAAAGACGTGGCTTTTCCTGCTGTGCTGTCTTTCTCAGCAGGTAAGATAGGGGCCAGAGAAGCTCTGAATTAGTTCAGGGCCACGTCTTAGGGTCCTCTGGAATACTTGTCTTCTGGGCTTTGTTTGGACTGTATCACCCACACGGATGACTTTCGCCCAATTCCTGCTGTCCAGCTTGGGCTGGACACCAAGGACTATGTCTGGAGGCCAGAGCCAGCACCTTCTTTTTTTTTTTTTTTGCGGTACGCAGGCCTCTCACTGTTGTGGCCTCTCCCGTTGCAGAGCACAGGCTCTGGACGCGCAGGCTCAGCAGCCATGGCTCACGGGCCCAGCTGCTCTGCGGCATGTGGGATCTTCCCGGACCAGGGCACAAACCCGTGTCCCCTGCATCGGCAGGCGGACTCTCAACCACTGCACCACCAGGGTAGCCCAGCACCTTCTTTGTTGCTCCCTCTTCCTGCCTTACACTAAGGTGACCGGGTCATTAACTGAGTGGGGGCCCAGCTCCCAGCCGTTGTAGGGAATGTGGGTGTACCAGTGCGATAGAGGTCACACAGGGACTGGCTGCTCAGACAGCGGCTTTGCCCCTGAGCTGTCAGGATCAGAAGGCAGGTGTTTGGGTGGGGGAGGGGCTGCTGGGTTGCGGCTTTTGTTTTTCTCCTGAACTTTACCTTGGGCTGGTTCGTGGTCAATCACAGCTGTTTGATTACGTCATATCCAAGAAACAGGAGGACCAAGATGACTTTTGAGGAAGATTTCAACCTTCGGCTTTTTAGTTTGAACGATGGTCTTAAAAAAAATTTACCTTCACTGCAGTATAGTCGTCAGGCAATAAACCGCATGTTCAGCAGGTGGAGTCTGCTGGGGTCTCTGTGTGTGTGTGTGTGTGTGTGTGTGTGTGTGTGTGTGTGTGTGTGTGTGTGTGTGTGTGTGT